ATAGAGTCCCGTGCAAAATTTGAGGGTTTTGCCCTGTTGAAGCTGAAAACGCGTATGGTTCTTCAATGAAATCTTGTAGATTTTTCAGCGGTTATTGAGCGCGCGCACATCGTAGGCTCAAATCGAACGTTCAAAAGTAGGCAGCCACCTTAAGAATTGCCGAATGGAAGGTTGTGGCAACTTCCCTTCAAACAATTTTTATGAAGTGCGCAAAATTCTAAAATGTTTATATATGAGTATGTTGTGTTGACCAAAGATGGTTGCCCAGAGAAAATGAATTTTCTTATGGTTTCTATTGAATTAATGTAAAATGAAATTTTCTCGTGGTTGCATAATAAAAGAGAAAAGCGATTATGGTTATCACGAAAAGATTTCAGGATCCTGCTGCAGGTACCGCGTAAACCTGTACTGTCGTCTTTGTTAGCTCCGTTTTATCGTATAATATGGTCTTTTATTGTTTCTATTGAATTACTGTAAAATGTGTCCAGTACCCGAAGGAGCCAAAATTAAAGTTTACCTGCCCCATTTAGCTTAATTTACTACAATGAGGGTGGACGAATAACCTAACAGACTTTTCAACCCAAATGGAGATCATTTTGCGGGGYGAGGAAACGCGGAGGACCCTCGAAGCCTGCACACGGAAACCAATAAGCAACTTTACTCACACGAAGGCGGCCAGGAGTTGCAGCGCACGTGCTTCCGAATTAAAAACTAAACATACATCGTCTATATTTATGTCTTTGGTTAAATCAATAAACGAACCTACCTTTCTGCTGTTCATCGTCGTTCACCGACTGCACACCATCCTTCTCTGTTTCCAAGGTTCCCCCTGTTATTTYAGTGCCAACTTCTTGAGTTGGCGCTGCACTTTCTTTGACGTTGGTTTCTTCTCTCATGAGTATAGCACGGTCCCTTTCAGTAAGTACTCCCCTCCCAACAACATGCCGCTTGATCGAATTTGTACCGTAAAACAATATTTCTCCTTTTTCAGTACCGGCTAGGAAGCACTTCCACTGCCTCGCTAAAGCAAATATCCCCTAGGGAAACAAAAGAAGATATCAATGCAATCGATGTTCTGAATGAGATAATAGAAATATGACGAATATCGTTACCTTGACTAGTCTTTTTGTTTCGGGAATGCTTTCCTTCTGTAAGAGAGCTGTCTTGACTTTATTAAGTCTTGACCCCATCAGCTGCCGGCGTAGATGGTATATCAGTTGGCTCGAATGATCTTCTTGTAGAGACTTGGAAATAGTGGTGACCAGGTAATGAATACCATGCTAAAAAAATAGGCAGATAAGATAAACATTGTGATATGAAATAGCACCAGATAGAATAGATATACAAAGGAACATAGGGGGGTATCGAAAAGTGGCCATAAAAAAAGAACTGGGATACAAAATCGAGCTGTAACTAAAGATGCGACTCGCCAATATGATTTAGTTGGTAGCAGAGCTAGCAGGAGCACAAAGTCAAAGCCATGTTCTCAACTAACGTTGAGAATAGCTTTTTAAATTTTCGACCTGGCAAACCTGTCACACACTAAACACTCAATATTCTAAGTTCACTCGACGACCTTCTTGTAGTAGCTATAATCATAAGCAACTTGAAGGTAGACATTTTACGACAATGCTTCATTTTCCCTTATTCAAGTTTTTATTGCCTCAGTAGTATAATAACAGTACCACTGAATTGTGTATTATTGACTGACAAAAGAGAGAGTATATATTTTGGTAGTGAAATTATTCGTTATTGTGATAATGCGAGCATGCTATACCGACCTTTCATTGCTATCATCTCCTAGTATAGTTCTCAAACCGATATTCCCTTATTCAAGTTTTTATTGCCTCAGTAGTATAATAACAGTACCACTGAATTGTGTATTATTGACTAACAAAAGAGAGAGTGTACATTTTGGTAGTGAAATTATTCGTTATTGTGATAATGCGAGCATCCTATACCGACTTTTCATTGCTACCATCTCTTAGTATAGTTCTCATACCGTCTTAAGTGTAATCAATTAAAGATTAAAGAGTAAATTTCATCATATTATCAGGAAACTACAATCAAAGATGTGGTACCTTTTTAGGTATCTTTCCGTGCTCAGGTAAAGCTTGTGACATCAAGCAGGCGATGACACTTGTGAACCGCATATCTCTGTTAACTWTTACATCCTTGATCAGGTGGGTGAGCTCCAGAATGCCTGGAATCCAAGCAACCGATAACGGCACAATGGTCGTCACAAGGCTGTTGTAAAGGTGGTAGTTTTCAGGGAGTGTTCGAGATGATGGAGGCGAGGCTATGTTCAACCAGATGCTTGACAGACAAATTTCCACGTCTATGCGACGAGCAAGCTCCACTTCCTGCTACACAACAAGAGACTAAATAAAAAGGAAACTTGAACACCGTGTAAAAAAAGTTTGTAACCTGAATACTAATGCGCTTCAGACGGTAGTCTTGCGTTGCATTATATATATATATACAAGTAAAAAAACGCTCTTGTGAAAATGTACTCTCAAGACAGTCGAAGACAGACTTACAGAATTAGTAAAGATGCCGATGCGTGAATCAATATGATGCCACATACCTGACTGTCTTGCGGACTTTCTTTGTCATCCCTTTTTTGGTCCCCTTTCTTGACACTTTGGCTCTTGCTTGGCTGCAATRATGCCTTGCCCTCATCCCCATCTCCTGCGATTTACGGATTACTAAAATTAGTCAATGGGCAAATATAAGACAATAGATGTGACTACCTATGAGCTACAATCTAGTTCAGCATTGGGACATTCCAATACTTACCCTCGCTTTCGATATCAGAGTCGCTGCCTCCGGTAAAACTTGTTAAGAAACTCAAACTTGAAGTTAAAGAACTAAGCCCACTTTTTCCTGACTTATTATTATCATCATCGGATGTGTTCATGTTTATTCGTACTGATCCAGTTTCTTGTTCTGACATGGGGTTGCAATATCCATGGAGAACAGCACCGTTACTATCAATTATCTCTCCATTCCCATTACTTGTCTTGTCTCTCTCCATACGATGACGAGACGGTGGTCTATGTCCAATCTTAGGAAGTATTTCACATCCATTCCCGCACTCGCTTCCTCCATTAACATATATCTTTTCAAGTCCACACTCTAGCATTAACAGGCTGAGGTATGAGCCTGGGGGTAAATCATCTGTATCAGAAGAATCCGTAAAGCTATGTAAATGTTCTCCATTAACGAGGAATTTTGACTTGGTTAATTTGTCTGTAATAGCAGTGGTGATGCTGTCCTCGAAATCGCTCTTGTTACACAGTTCATGAAGCTGCAGCTGGACTTGATTGCACTTGCCATTGAAAGCCATCGARGTATTACGATGTAAAGGTTTGTTTGAAAAGACTGGATTGGTATATGAAGGCTTACTGTTTAAAGTAAATTGTTCGTCAGATTGACGCATGTCAAGGTGGCTGTCAGAAGATTTTGGATTATTGACTGCTGCTTTTTGAACTGAGAAAACCTTAGCTGAAATCCCATCAAGGCTTCCAGCAAGAAGAGAAGTGCTTGGTTCTTTTGCTTTATAGCTTTCATCTTGGAACTCGAGTAAGTCCAAGTCGTTTCTTCCCTCTGCTTTCAATTCGGGTACAGCAACTTGTAGAAAGCAAACATTTATATTTGAAGTAGAGATCAATGCAACGACTTCGTCTGTTTTGGTAACACTTGTATCATCCACTGCTGATGTGAGGTTATTATCTAGACGCTTGTGATAAAGTTTTTCGGCCGTACTGGTGCACATGTCATGCACTAAATCGACCACTAATGCAGGATGTAGAATGCAATCTTGTCTAGATATCGACGAGATATACCTTCAACAAATAAATAAAAAAGAGAGAATAAACAAAATGGTTATCGTTTGATCTTTTGCCGTGTTGTAGAATCAGTCAAATACTTGACATTGTGCTGTAGGTCTGTAAAAAGAATCATGATAATCCTTTATCTCATAGAAAGCATGCAGAGGTCTTTTTCTGTCCTTGTTCTGGTAAAAAAAGCTCCTATATCATACCTTTGTAATGCATCCACACACAAGGGGGTCAGGAATATATTGATATCACCATTAAATCTAAAGATCGCTAGGTTTTGAAGTGGGCGTTGTTCTTTCTTTGATGACTGGATATCAGATGATGAATCGACAGACGTCAAAGATCCCTGGCTGCCCTCATTCATGGCCGTCTTCCACCTTGCTTTACGCAGCGAATCTTGCTCACTGTTTTCACCAACATGCAGGCTAAGATAAAAAAGCCCTTGGTTGAGTATGATAGTATTTTATTGTATATCTTCTATCTTCCTAATCTCTATTCAAACTCTATTGAATACCAGGAACATCGATGATACTAACTTCTCAGTGTCTTGGCTTGGTTTTTCCACTTGAGAGAGGTTTAACTTTGCATTGCCATCGTAAACAGAGCCGCTGTCTGACGAGCTGACATCAGCATCTTCATCTTGTTCTTCTTTCTTTTTGACTCCTTGATATTTTTTCACTAGCAGAGGTGGCTTGAACTTTGGAGGATTGAGATAGATGAACTGCGGTACTCCAGGAAGAACCAACGGATCACTAGGTTCGGTTTCCTGCAAATACGAAAAAGAAGTACATTGACTATCAAAATGATGGAAGACCCGCCGCAGGACAAGTGATGTCAACCATACCTTAAGATTCTCAACAATGCTGAACATCCTTTTGCTGGTTGGGATTGCTGCTGGCACATTCCAGTTTAAACATTCTAACTGCGACAGCTGTTGTGAGTATCGATTAACAAGCTGCGGACAGGAAACTACGAAGTGAGAAAAATGTGCCTCACTGTCTCCAAACTTCATAAGGTCGTCTGGATCCTCTACAGCAGACTCAAAGGTTTCCACAGATACCCCATGATGTAAGGGTGGCCTAAGAAAATAACGCAACACAGTTTGGTCTACTATTGTTGACACAGTGTGACATGCAATCGAAACATGATGGTCGTTTTCTTTATTGCAGGTCAGTAAGCAATGTACATCAAAGCTCACAAAGCACTATGGGAAACAGAGTACTGCAAAAATGGAACAGAAAATCAAAGAAACTATCAGATAAAAATTGCTCTGTCATTTTCGTCTGTTGAAATACTAGTTTACATTTCATAGAAAGTTCGAGAGGAAAATTGTCAGATGAAGTTTTAGAGGAGCCGAAAAAGTAATCGGTTTCTCATCATGCTTTGTGCTAGAGATTCATGCTCGTGCACATTGGCTATTAAAGATTGATTGAAATAGAATAAAATACTTACATATTATCTAAGTCATCAAGAAGACTTCCACACGAGTAGAACGACCCTTCGCTTTCACGTGATAATTGTGAAGAGTAGCTATGAAGCTGCCTGGTGCGTGGTGGGATGTGTGATTTGGATCCTTGAAGGCTACCTGTCTGCATGTACTTTGCTTTGGCTGAAACACTCGACGAGGTACGCCTTAGTGAGCTTTGCCAACTAAGACGGCTGGTTGGCTCATGTTCTGTTAAACAAATAAATGGAAATAAAAGTAAACAAACAAACAAACAAACGAACGAACGGCAAACGATAGAACGAACGATAGAATGAACGATAGAACGAACGAGTGAACGAATGAATGCAAAAAGAAAATAATTCACTGGTATGCTTTGTTTCATATGAACGTACAAGAAAATCTACCACAACAAATGATTCAATGACATCTAAATTAGTCTTCAATTAGACTGCCTCTAAAATAGCTACCCTGATCATGGCCTCCTTCTTGTTTAGTAGCAGGACGCCTGAGATATGCTGGCCTTCTCAGCTTAGGAGAGCTACTTGCTTCTGACCCATGGTATCGTTTGCGTGTAAACGCTTCAACTGATCCGACTGGACTTTGATCGAGATATGAGGACCCAAGAGCGTCATGGGAGTACATGTAAGGAGGCTTGGCTTCGTCTTCATCATTCAGCTCCCAGTCGTCATAGAAACCACCTTCAGAACCAAACCCTGTTATTCCTGTATCATTTGCACTCGCATCCAGCTTCTCCGAGGAAAAGAACCTTAGTCCATTAGCATTTTTACCAAAAAAGTTACATCCCCCCACACAACCACAACAACTTGGACGTTTCTTTGGATGATGTTTTTCTGATAAACTCCACAAAAACCAAATGCGTTGATACTTTTCATCGTGTATTTCCAGGAAACTTTTCTGGTCAAGTTGCTCTGTTAAAGGAACAATAAATATTTGTCAAAAATTACGTTTTAAAAGTATGAAAAAGCGAAAAAAGAATTTACCATTTTGTCCTTCGGCCAAAGAGAAATCAGTGATGATGGGTCCAAAGAACAGGTTTGCAGCTTCCATCCAAATAACGTCATCACAGAGGGACATCCTCTTGTGAACATCATCCAGTACAGGATCATCTACTATAGGTCGTGGAGCAAGGACAAATTGACGTAGTTTGACTGCCTGTATAAACAGGCTTAAACCGGTTGTTTGGTTGTCACTATGCAGATTACACATGGCAAGTCTTACTGGACTGACCTGAAGCAGAGGAAAATATATTCATGGTAAAAATAATTGATTTATCAGAKGGGGGCATGGTAGAAATAATGGCTCGCCACTGATCAGTATTTATCAAGTTAACTATATTCTCAATCTGTTAACTTCTTTTCCCCTGAACTTTAAGAATGCAGCAATTCTCGAGATACGCAGTGTAGCATGTGGTCTCACCTGCATGTTACAGGCCACGCCTGATTCTACGATGAACAGATTTATATCCTCCACTGATATGCGAGTCATGCGATACTTCAGATCATCTTCTGTCAGGCATACCGTCTTTGCATCTTCTTTATCTTCTTCTTTAGTTTCTGGAGTTACTGAACCTTTGCTCTTTCCTCCCAGTGATAGCTTTGGATGCAGGCTGCTTGTTTTTCTTGTCTTGTCCTCAGGATTCGTTGATTTTGCTTTTTTTTCGGTTTTGCTTTCAAGTTGAGGGCTCCGTTGATGAGCAGTACTAAGATTTGTGGTCAAATTTGCAAGAGCTGAGCAGCAGTTTTGTCTGCGTCCATGTATGCACCTTTTATAAGTTGATATTGGTCTTAATCGGTTTTCTTTGTTTAGTAGGTGAAGTGCAAACGTCTGACCCCAGTTCAACAGAGCCTGAAGCTGCAATTAAAGCACAATAACACGGTAACCATGGGTAACCAAGTACACAGGTGAGCCAGGCTCAACAAAAAAAGAATTAGCATCTTTTTGTTTCATATCAATTTATTTTGTATATTTAAAATTATATCTAAATGAAACCCTTATAACTTAAAACGTAACACTCAAATCAAGAAATATTTTACAATAGGCCTTTAATATCAAATTGCGCTGATCCTCGCACTATGTGAAGCAACTTATGCAGTTGCAAGATTGATTACAGTGGTTAGAGTATGGCGCCGGAATCGCCAGGGCACGGGTTTAAATCCCGTGAATCTTTTCYGAGTCTTTCAATTTGCAACTGAATAAGTTGCTTCATATACTGCGAGGATCAGCGCAATTTGATACATTAGAACCGCAGTACAAATATATATTTCATATACATTCTCTTCCTTGGGGAAGGCTCTGCTGGGTGACAATAAAACTTTAAACTGCTTCGTATCTTGAAATCGAAAGTATCTCATAAGGGGGGGAAATAGTTTTTGAAAATTTCTTAAATATCAGCATGGGTCTCGTGTGTTCRTACCTGAGGAAGTGTGATCTTCCCTGATAAGATTCCAAATTGTAACTCTGTTAACCATGCGTACTCTAGAGTTTCACTGTCTGGTGGCAGTTCCTTGCCTGAAAACATTGCATGGCCACGAAGCTGAAACCCTGACAGACTTAAATGACCTTGAGACAAGTGCTGTCCAGATACACCACGCTGTGAAACAAAAACGTCAAAAAAGAAATCAAATGATTACAAGAGAACAATTGAGTAATTCAATAAACACTCAATTCCGATTTCTTTCGATCGAATTTTAACTTCCTTTTCAGTTTTGATCCATACATTGATTAATTAACACTATATTAATAATTATATTAATTATCAATTAATATTGATTGATATTAATTGTTTAATACGATAATTGCACCTCTTGTGTATCAGATACGAGGACAGTCATTGGAGTCAAGTGCAACTGTAGCCTGGTTTCAGCGTACGACTTGTGCATCTCAAAGGTAAGTCTTTCGAACAGCAGAAGAGGCGAGCAAGGTTCGTTTACACCGCAGTGCTGAAAAAGAAATTGTAATTTATTCATAGCTGTATATGATTTTCATGTATTCTTGTAATTATACACGGAGTGCAACAGAAAGACGTTGTTGTTGTCTTCAAACCATATTTGGAGACCTTTTTTACTCAAAAACATAATTAAACCATCATGCACATGACGAGTGGTAACTCCGTCATACCTTGGTCAGTTCCGCTTTGAAGTCATACAGGCTAATAAACACATTAGCCTCTAGTGGCCTTAAAGCAAACAGGTTGATAGTGTCCGTAGTAATATCGTGTGTTAATTCTTTTTCTGGGAATTCCGTCTGGCTGGTATTAAACGAGGCACATTCTTGGAACACTTGATCAATGCCAAAATAGTTTTCCTGTGTATTGTAAGAAAAGCAGTTGGTAGCAGTTGATGATAGGCCAAATCAAGGGAAATACGTTACTCCTTCGGTGTAACGAGCGGTTATAAAATAAGATACATTACAAACATGACAGGAAAAAACAGACATCCCCTTTTTTTGCTCTTACGTTTCTTGTTTTCCCTCCTTCCTTAATGCATATAATAAGTATATGTAATAGGACT